CGTAGCCGTTCTTGAATGTAAAACCAAGAGAACGTATAATATAAAGAAAGTATAATATAAAGAGAGACTACCTATACATACACATGTTTTTCTAAAGAAAGTATAATATAAAGAGAAAGAGTAAAACTCCAATTGGTCTACATATAGGTGGTATGATTGCATTTTCAAGTTCTCATCTATAAAATTTTCTCTTCCTTCCCTTCATTTCTACTCAACCCATACATTCAAAAAAAATTTATAATATAAACAGAGAGAGTAAGACTCCAGTTAGCCTACATATAGGTGGTATGATTGTATTTTCAAGTTCTCATCTATAAAATTTTCTCTTCCTTTCTTTCATTTCTACTTAACCCATACATTTAATAGATATAAAAGTGTGTAGAAATGACAACTTCCTCAAGTCATCACATAAGAAATATTTTTGTTTTCGGTAGATTCATTACTGAGAACAAAATAGAGTTTTTAGAATCAGCAAATTATCATGATCAAGTATTAGCTAAGAAAAAAGATTTATTTAGTGTAAAGGAAAGGCAACCTTGGGTTAATAGGGAGGAGTGTCAATAGTTGCATTTTTAGAAGTCGTCCCCAAAGCTTTAGCACAAAGAGAGATCATTGAAACAATAATTGGAGAGGAACTATAGGTCTCCATAATGTCTTATCGAATAAATGTAATGTTTAAATACGCTAATGCCTTCATTATCTTACTAGATGGCCTAGGCACATTAGAAGAAATCTTTTATATTTCCTCTTCGACCCAACTGCACATTCACTATAAACTCATAGGTCTGTTAAATGTTAATAGTTTTTATAATAAGTTGTTGTCTTTTCTTGATCATACTGTAGAACAGGAATTTCTATCTTTGACACAACAAATCATAATCTCTACTAGTACTGCTAAATAATTGGTTGACCAACTACAATCTTTCACTCTTGTAATTGATCACTCCATGAATCACATACATTGGTTAACTGAGAAAAGCCATAAAAAGCTTAGATTGTATTTGAAACTTTGTTTATGAATCCTTGTCCTTTTTGGTTTTCTTAATAGTATATTAATTTGTTTTGTTATTTTTTATATTTGTTTAAGTGTGTTTCAGGTTTGTTAGTATTTGATATTTCAAGTGATGTCTTCTATACTTTTATCTTTCCACCTTAGGACATTGAGGACAATGTCTCATTTTAGTTGGAAAGAAAGGATACTAGTTGATTTTTTTTATAAAAAAAAAAAACTAACTGTGTTTTCTATTTCATAAACCATTTGCAAAATTATTGATACTAGAATGGCAAAGTAATGTGTTCTTTTGTTAAAATGACTCTTGAGACACATCTTAGTAAATATTCTTAACAAGATCTATTAGAATACTTCTTAAAATATTCACATTTACAAACTCTCGTATTGTTATCTTTTAATTCTACTCATATACTCATTTAACATGTATTCTTAAACTATCATTTTCACACACACACTTTAACATATGATTGTGGGTTGCACTTTAGATTATTACATTATTTATGTTTTTTTGTTAAAAGAAACAACTAAGGGAAATGGATAGTATATAAATTGAAAAAAAAATAATGATAATAAAAATGTAAATAAGTTTGGTTTTGTAGCCTTCCTAATCTAAGTAATTAAACTCGAAAGATTATTTTAATACCTAATACCCTAAAGTCAACTAACTTGAGAGCTATTAGCCCAACATTTGTTACATAGTTTGAGAAGTTACATGATTTGAGGAGAAAAGTTTAAGGAAATCAAACATTGCACTATCTAGGTATCAATATCTGCAACTCGAGTCACTAAGCTCATAAAAGTATCTTCATTGTGCATCAAAACTGTCATTAAGTCTCTTATTTTACATATGTATTTATTGTTTTTATTTGGTTGTTTTTATAATAATTGATGTGTTTTTTAGTAATGAAGTTTGTTTTAATGTTTCGATAGGTTTTTGGAGCTTAAATAAATTAATTCA